TTATACAATACCAGGGCAAATAGCTTTTTGTGCACAGTAGGGAAGCATCTTTACTTTAATAAAAAATGCAGTGATAATGGAATGTTGTCCATAGGCGGAGGGCAGTTTAACCTTTTTACATTGGGAGCCTCTGCTCTGAGATAGACCTATTTATACCCAACTCAATGCACATTATAGTGATGCCAAGCCATGAAGGTAATGAGACCAGGAGTGGACGAGACCGTCAAAACAAGGGGCTCTCTAAAAGCCCAGCTGTCTGCTCTCTGTGGTTCATTGACTTTTTGCTGTTACAGATGACCAAATTTTGACAGCCATTCTGAACTTGCTTTGTGGCTAAGTAGGCGAATCAGCACTGTGGATCCAGAATAGCAGAGCAGCAGACTGAGAGGTGGGAGGCAGGCAGGGGGTGAGGTGGTTCGTGAATAAGCTTGGGTGTGTTCCTACTTCGTGTATACCAAGCCAGCCAAGCTCTCCCCAAATCACACAGCCCTCCTTCCTGGCTTGTGGCTGGGGAGGAAGGACAGGAACCAAGCAGGGGGTGGAAAGAAGGTCTGGATGGGCTGCAAGGGTCTCCTTCCCCCTTCTGGACCATAGCTCTGTTGTGCTGTTGGCCAAATGCTATCATATTATGCATGTTGAAATAGGCACTTCAGTACTTAGAGCACATGGTAGGCACATTTATAGGGCTTGAGGTTTTCCAATGAAGGGATCTGTAGGTAGAGGAATTGGAAATTGGATATAACATGTTTTTGGAGAAACCCTGAGGAAGTATGTGCTATGTTGATATAATCCTGAAGGGATCATTGAGTGTCTTTGGGTCTTGAGCATCCCCAGGTTAAGACTTGGGAAAGCCCCTACAAGGATGGATACTCCAGCTGGACTCCTAGACTATTACCCAGAAATTAAATGTGAGCTGGGCTACGGTCCATGCTTGAGATGTGGTTCAGGTGAAGAGCAGCTGTCTTTCCTGCATTGCCTGTATAACGTGTCTCTTAGGGGGCCATTGAACACACAGTGGGGGAAGCTTTAGCAGAGCAGTTGAGAGAGGTGACCTGAGCACCTGCAGAGGCCGGTTGGTCACAGACTCTATGGGTAGGAAACAGGAAGAACTGGAGCCTGTTATTGGTTTACCCACAGGGATCTCACTTGAAATGGCAGGTTACCGTGTTGGGGTAATATCAGGATAAGGCTGCTGACTTATCTGTTGAACTGTACAGGCCTCTCAGTCATTCTGGAATTATCAGGAATATCCCTAGGATAAACAAAGTCTGCGTTCATGTTTCCTAGGTCTGGGTTGGGCATTGCATGGGTTAGCTATTGTCACAGCAATGCTGTGTAACAAACCACTCCAGGACTCATTGGCTTAAAATGGCAATACTTAGTTCTGACTGATGTTGAGGTTGGCTGAAGCAGCTCTGTTGAGGCAGCCCTGCTTATCTCAGCTGAGTCCAGGGTAGCAGGTCTTGGTTGGGCTCCACTGGGGAAACTCTGTTCCCTGTGCCTTTCATTTTCCTGGAACCAGCTTGTCACTGAGGCATGTCATCTCACAGAGGTGGCAGAGACATGTGACATCAATGTCTACTTGTGCTGTACCCACTACTATCCCATTGGCTGAGCAAGTCACACATTTTGCTCAATCCCTAAGTGGCTGGTGTCCCCCTCCTCCCAGGTCAGATCAGTCTTGACTTCTCCTGTCGTGACTGTGCTGCTCGTCTGGTCCTTGGCTGCCTCTCATTCTCCCTGAGTGTCTAAGCACCTGTACCCTCTATCTGGAACTCTCAAACCTGCAGATCTCTGTCCCTTGCTCGCTTAGTTCATTCATGTCTCTTCGCAAGGTGGGAAGCCCTGACCTGAATGCCCCTTTGAAAAATAGTTACCACCTGTGCTCCCACTTAATGGGTACCACATAAGGGTATATGGCATACCTCCTGGGTGGGGGCCACAACTCCAACAGGGAGCTTACCTAACAAATGCATACACTGTAACCTAATTGTAGCCTCACATTAACCTGAAGAAAAAAAATAGTCACCACCAATACCTCTACCCCCTCCACCTTCACTCTCTCCTTTGGCCCCCTTTGTCTTTTATAGTGTTTATCCCTCTGACCTGTTATTACGTCCCTCCCCACTGCAAGTGAGCTCCATGTTGTCTTTCTGCTGCCTGATATCTCTAGTGACTGTGGGAGTATTTGGCACATGATAGGTGCTCAGTCGGTGCCAGAGTGAACGAGTGAGTGGCTGAGAGGTTCTTCCGTGTGAGCATGAGTGTTTCCAGTGATTTGTTGCTTACCCTTCTGAGACCCTACCTTCCTTTTTTAGACTGTGCTAAGGAGGGTTCTTCCTATTGAGATTGTACTGAAGTTGTCTCCCCATATTTCCTAAAACTCATTGATTCTACTTTCTTTCCTTTGAGAAGAAGGAAAAACAAAGCTCTTTTTTGTCTGTGTTGTCTGTTTACTTGTGTTATGTCTGTATTAACTCTTGCAGAAAAGGATAAAAAGAAAATTCAAATTGTACTTAATTTGACCACTTACAGCTGCTTCCAGTATTTTGGGTTTTTTTTTGCAGTTTTTGGCTGGGGCCAGGTTTGAACCCATCACCTCTGGTATATGGGGCTGGCGCCCTAGTCCTTTGAACCACTGGCACCCTTTGAACCACTGGCGCCGCCCTGCTTCTAGTATTTTATATATTTCCTTAAACTTTGTCTAAACCATTTTAACATGAAAAATTCATATTCAGCTCATCTGGTAGTTTTATATCCTGGATTTTCCCTAAACTGTATCTAAAGCATTTTTCTAATCATTAAATTTCCAATGGCATTTTTGGGGGGGGGGGTAGGGTATTTAATAGTACAGAAATCTCTGAATTTAACTGTTTTTCTATGCTTGAGTATTTCGATTGTTGAACATTTAGATTTAAATTTTTAAGTAATTTTATAAGTCATGCTTATAGATGAATATTTGATGGCTTTGGTGGTTATTACCTCAGGATAGACTAAAAGAGGTAAGATTTCTGGGTCAAAGAGGATGAACTTTTTGTGGCAAGCTCTGGAGACATTGTTAAATTTCTCTTTAGGAAGACTGTGCAGCTAAAATTCCCTTAAGCGCTGTTAACTTTCCCGTGTCACCATACCTTTACCAGTGGTGAGAATTTGCTTTTCGAAATCTGCCAATTTGCTGAACAAAAGAGGGGTTGCATTTTTTTAAAAAAAATATTGACTGGCTGTGGAGAGAGAAAAAGAGAGTTAATTAATTGCTAGTTCGTGTCCTTTGTTTCTCAGAATGTTTTAGTATTTTCAGCTATTGATTTATAAAAGCTTTTTATACATAAATAATATTAAGCTTAGCCTTTTTTTTTTGTTGTTGTCGCAAATAATTTTCGCATGTTGATGACCTTTTAATTTTGTTCATGGCATCTGTTGGAAGGCAGAAGCGAAAGATTGTCAGCACATTTGTCAGTCTTTTTCTTTGGGACTTCTGGAAATTACTGGCAGTTCCAGGAACTCCCGCATGATTCAGAGGACTTTCTGAATTTTTCTCCTTGGCGTCCCTTTGGGAAAAAAGGTTACATTGTTACGGGTTTATCCTACTAAAAATTGTCCTTCTTGAAGAACATATGATTAAAATGGACTTTGTATGGGCATTAGTGTTCTAGGACTACCTTAGAATAACAGGGCAGGTGGCTTAAATAATACACATTTGTTTTCTTATAGTTCTGGAAGCTAGAAGTTCATGATCGAGGTGCTAGCAAGTTTGGTTTCTGGTTAAGGTTTCTTCCTGGCTCGCAGACAGCTACCTTCTCACTGTGTCCTCACATGGCTTTTCCTTTTTGCACACACAGGAAGAGAGATTGATAATGTTCTAGTTTCTTTTCCTCTTCTTATAAGGACCCCAGTCTATTGGATTAGGGCCCCACCCCATCCTTGTTAAAAAGGACTAGTACCTCATTTAATCTCAGTTGCCTCCTCAGAGGCTCTGTCTCCAAATATAGTCACGTTGGGGGTTGGGGATAAACATGATGAATTTTGGAAGGACATAATTGAATCCATGACAATATGAATGAGCAGTGTTTATAGAACAGAATCTAGGGACCAGGAGGGAGTGTCTGACTACAACCCCATTTCACAGATGAGTGACTGGGGCTCTGAAAGGGTCACAGCTTTTTATACTAGAACATGGGCCTAAACCACAATCTGATGGTCTTCTGAGACCATCCTCTTTCCCACAATCTCATGTCAAGAAGAATCTAGGGCATTTAGAATCCATGCACCAAAAAAAAAAAAAAAAATGGCAGGGCAGGGCAGGGACTCTGTTCTGTTTTTCTCCGTATCCTTATTGCTTAAGACTTTAGGTCACACTGCACGTTTCACGTACACTTGTTGAATTGTACAGAGCTCAGACCAGAGAGCAATGTCCAAGGAAACATTGCCAGGGGTCAGTCTGTGGAGAAAATTTCCCCAGCTGTCCCTACATTCCACTATTTGACAAGAGTTGCCTAAAATATTGTCTGGATTACAGCCCACCTCACGCGACCTTCCAAGAATCAATGCATCTGGAGTGCATCTGACAAGCTCAGATCTGATGTGTTATATCTATCCCCCCTTAAAAGAAAAAAAAAAAAAACCTCTCACCTAAATATAGTTTTCTTCTAAAAGCTGTCTCTAAAATGACTGTGTTTTACCCTGGATAAGTTCTCCCCAGTGCATCCTGACGCTGGAGCATGAAAAGGAAGGTAAACGCATGAAATCAAATGGTGATTGCTAACAATGAAATTTGGGCTCATAAAATCAAGGATATTATTCAAAACTGCGAGGTAAATTAGTCTCATTCATTCTGATGGGGCTAGACTCTATGGCTGTGTGTGCCTTCTTTAATTAACATGCTGAAAAGATGTTCTGATTGGGATTATTAATGAATGCAGTGAAAATGTTTGCTGCTTAGAAAAGGCTTCTGCCACAGACGGTTTACACAACCCCCACCCTGCCTTTTTCTTTATCCACAGATTCCTTACATGGCTTGACAGATGGAGTATTCATCTTTGAAGCTGTTTCCACAGAAGATAGCAAAACCATACAGGGCTATGATGCTATTGTTGTCGAACAATGGACGGTCCTGGAAGTAAGTATGGGGTTGGCAGCCCCGCTTCTTTTGTTTGGACAGTGATTGCTTTACGCGCTTGCTCCATCCAGCAGTGGGGCTGTTGCTCAGCTGAGGCTTTCTTCTGAAGGGGACATGTCCTTGTAGACCCTACAAGGACCTCCTTGGAACGTGTCCCGCCTTTCCCACTCCTAGGTATGGGTCGGTCCTTTTCCCTTTCTGTGGGAAAAACACTGTGGTTTTGGTCATTCAGTGGAAAGAGAGTTGTCTCTCATTAATTTGCATATAATTCAGAATGCTAAGTGACATAAATGAGGCCACATAGTTTGTGGCCTCTGTAACAATCAGCGCAACACTGTTGATGGAGATAGACCCTATAGCTCCCTCTGCCAGCAATCCTTAGAAGAAATTTATGCACAGGAGCTCACTTAGTCTTCACAATAAACATGTGAGGTAAGTACTGTTACTGCCTCAGTTTTACAGATGAGGAAACTGAGGCACTGAGGGGTTAGGTTCCTGGTCCAAGGTTACACATTAAGTGCTGAAGGATGAATTAGAGAAATGCTCACGGCTTGCATTTCATGTACACTTGTTGAATTGTACAGAGCTCAGACTAGAGCAGTGTCCAAGGAATATTGCCAGGGTCAGTCATTTTGGGAAAATCCACCTCCCCCATGAGGCTACCAGATTGCTGTGGGCAGAGGAGTTCCTCACGCCACATTCTGCATGATTTGGAAGGAGCCGATTTACTTCTAAAATTCAGTGGTCTATACTTCAGAGGCATTTCTCTAGCTCTGGAGGCATGGACTTTTTAGACTAGTCACTTGTACACGCAGCATCTGGGACGTAAAAGAAGCTGTTTGAGCACAGAGGATGGATTTCTGAATGCCTTGAAAGAGCACAGGGTTGGTGTTGCTGTGAGGGCCTCTGCCCACCTAGGCTTTCTAGGCCAAAGCAGGACAGAAGTGGATGTGGCTCTTTCCTAGGAGAGTGGGCATGGGGACCCTCCTCCAGACAGCTATACACTCTTGTGCCTGCCAGAAACACAGCCTTGCAGCAGTCGCTTGCCTTGTTGCTGGGGAGAAAGGGGGATGGTCACATGCCCCCAGAATGCTGTTACTCTGCTTTAAAGCTGCAGTGGTTCCAAGGAGGTGTGGAGTGAGGAGCAGGGCTGAGAGCTGGGGGCATGCCTATGTCTGAGCAGTGATGGGAAATAGCTGCTTGCTAGAGTGACAGCAACAGAGTGCACAGAGATACTGGAGCATCAGAAAAAGGAGCTGCAAAATCACTGGTTAATATGGGGGCAGAAGTCCTCAGGGTGCAGGTGGTGAGGGAGGTGAGGAACCAGGTGACAGCCTTGTTTGTGATCAGGCTCCAGTGTGACCCTGGTGCCTGTGGTCTCTCCAGCCTCCATGCCCCTAACTGGAAAGCAGAGTCCAATATGAGCAGGTTGTGTCACCTCCCAGGACCCTAAACTTCCTCAGCGTACTGTGGGCAGTTCAGCCAGCCCACCATGTGTGATGGTGACATCTGAAATACCAGGAGTAGTGGGGCCGAGCAGCCTGTGTGCTTCAGCATTCAGTTTGCTCTGTGACATTTGGCTATTAACAGTAGCACTGCATGGCTGGCTGCACCCCAAAACATGTGCCTGTGTGGCGTGATTGGCAGGCCCTGGGGACTGTGTAAAATTCCTGCTGTCTGCACTTAAAATGGCTGTTAAGGGAGGGCTTTGTGGTTTCCTCAAAAAAGATGACTTGATGGCAGTGATCCAAAAAATGGTCTTAAATGGTCTTAAAAAGTGGTTCTCAAAGTGGTTCCAGGACCAGCAGCATCAGCATGACTGGAAATTGTGATGAATGCAGATGGACTCCCTCCAGATCTGTGGAATCAGACCCTCTAGGGAAGCCCTTCAGGAGATTCTAATGCTCACTCCCTTTTAAGAGCCAACATGCAGGTGCCAGTCTCACTACATGTCTGCACCATATTTGGTGAGACGGGTGGGGGAAAGGTACCCCAGTGGTCTTTCATTAGCGTTTAAAACTAACTGTGATGCTGATGGGCAGCAGAAGTGAATGCACGTTTTTTAAAGTGTCTGTGGGAAGACAAAGTTACATATTAAAAATAAGGACACAGTCTTCTTTTAAAATTCATAAAGCGGGCTTGGCGCCTGTGGCTCAAGCGGCTAAGGCTCCAACCACATACACCTGAGCTGGCGGGTTTGAATCCAGCCCGGGCCCGCCAAACAACAATGATGGCTGCAACCAAAAAAATAGCCAGGCATTGAAGCAGGTGCCTATAGTCCCAGCTACTTGGGAGGCGGAGGCAGGAGAATGGCTTGAGCCCAGGAGTTGGAGGTTGCTGTGAGCTGTGATGCTACAGCACTCAACCCAAGGTGACAGCTTGAGGTTCTGTCTCAAAAAAAATTGATAAATAAAATTCATAAAGAGGTCAGTGCTATGTGTTAAGAAGTTAGTTTGGAAAGATTAACATTTACTCTTTAAATGAGTAAGATTTACATTTACTAATAAAGATTAAACTTTTCCTGGATATGCAGATTGGTTTTCATTAAGTTTATTAGTCAATTTCACTTCCTTCGCAGATGTTTGATCTTTTTTCCTCTTAACTCCTTATTTTATGCATTAAGCGATTTGATGCAGTCCCTCTTTAGGAATGCTGCTTGGGCTTTTCACCCGCAATCACTGGGAACGAAACTGGGTTTTAAAGTCGTATGCTGGGCCTAGTGGTGTGGAGTGCTCCCATCGCCAATTCTGTGTGGCTCTTTCCAACTCCAGTTCAACGACAGCAGTTTGGTAGTTTGAAACTGGCCATGAGGGAAGCGTTTACACCATGGAAATCGACATACACTAGGAACTGTGTTTTCTCGTCTGGAGAACCAGTCGTAAGCATTTATCAGCGTAGCCTGGATGGGCCTTTATTTCATCACATTCAGCATTATAATGTAAAGGTACGACTGGTATCCAGTTAGGCAGAAACAGAATTTCTTAACGTTCATGAGAGTGATGACAAGAGGATTGATGGTTTTGATAATGTTGTTCACCAAGTTTCCCTGCACAAGTCTTCAGACTTGCTCTCCTGTCTGGCATGTCTGGAGCATCCCCAAATTTCCCAAGAAACATAGACTCCTACTCTCTTTAGCAGCACCAGCTTCTGCTATAGTTTGAATGTTTGTGTCCCTCCAAGATTCATGTTGGAACTGTACCCCAAGGTGATGGAATTAAAAGGTGGGGGCCTTGGGAGGATATGAGGCTGTGAAGCCTACACCCACATGGATGGCCTTTGTGCCTTATGGACAGGGTGTTGGAGAGCTGCCTCCCACTTTTGCCATGTGGGGGCACAGCGTTTGGCCCCTTCCATTCTTTCTTCCATGTGAAGACCCCTAGATGGCACCACCTATGAGGAATGGGCCACACCAGACCTATTGTTGCCTTGATTTTGGACTTCTTAGCTTCCAGAACTGTGAGAAATAAGTTGCTATTATTTGTAAATCACCCAGTCTGTAGTATTTTGTCAGAACAGCAAGAACAGACTGAGACAGAAATTGGTACTGAGAAGTGGGGCTTTTGCTATAACAAATACCTGAAAATGTGCAAGCAGCACTGGAACTAGGCAGTGGATGGAGACTGGTAGAGCTTGGAGGAATGTGTTAGAAAAATCCTTGACTGCTGTGAATGGAGTGTTGAGATGGTTCTGGTGAGGAGGAGCCTCAGCCTCCTGGTAGATTATCTACGAAGTGATTATATTTAGAATGGTGGTGGAAATATGGACTAGAAAGGCCATTCTAGTGAGATCTCAGATGGAAATGAGGAACAAGGTATGGGAGGCAGGAAGAAAGGCGTCCTTGTTACAAAGAACAAAGTGGCAGAGAACTTGGCTGAACCGTGTCTGTGTCCTAGTGCTTTGTGTAGAGCTTAAAAGAGGCGAAACAGAACGTTTGGTGGAAGAAATCTCTAAAATGTGTCCAGGGCATAGCATGGCTTCTCGTGATTGCTTATCGTAAAAAACAAGAATAGAGAAACAAATTGAAGATACAGTTTATATTCAAAGGGAAACAGAACCTGAGGTTTTGGGAAATTCTCAGCCTGGCTGCGTTGTCTAGAAATAAAAGTTATATTCAGGAAAGAAAACCTGAATGGTCAAGATACTGTTTGATAAGGAGACAAGTATGAGTGGAAGGGAGCCAGATGCTGTTAGCCAAGACAATGGAAGAAGGACGCTGAAAGCACTTCTGACATTACTGAGGCTCCTATCACCAGCTCAGGCCTGGAGGGGACAGCCAAGGCCTGGAGGGGACAGCACTTGTCAGGCATCCTGGGACTCAGGCCCACTGCTCAGTGCTATCTCAAGTTTATGCTCCACGTGTCAAGGCTAAGACAGCTTCTGAGATTGCCAGCTCTCCAGATTAAAAGGAAAGGAGATTTCTTCTGGGCAGACTGTGCCCCTTGGTTTGTGGGTTTCTCTTCCTTCATGCAGCCTTTAGGAATCAGTTTATAGGTCACCTCTAGGGTGAGAGACCCCTCCTGTGTGTTCCCCTAACTCTCTGTGCACAAGCAATCCATCCGGCTCCTTTTGTACTCTGTCATTATTTATTTATCCACCTTTCTCCTGCCATTGTGAGGTTGACCTGGAAATGGTCATCTTTGTTCTCCAAGGCACTCTAGTAAATGCTTGCTGAATTGGGTTGAAGGTGCAGCTCAGGGTAAACCATTTCTCAAAACTGCCTGTATCAGAATCACCTGAAGAGACTTTTAAAACACAGATAAAACTCCACCTCCAAGTTTCCCCTGCAGTAGGTACCTTAGTCTGCTTGGGCTGCCACAACAAAACACCATAGACTGGGTGGCTTAAACAACTGAAATTTATTTCCTCAGTTTTGGAGGGACTGGTTTCTGGGGAGGGCTCTTTTCCTGACTTACGGACGGCTTCCTTTTCTCTATGTCCTTACGTAGCTGAAGACCTCGGGGGTGGGGGAGAGAAGGAGAGAGAGAGTGTGCAGCAGTCTG